CCATGGATCCATCCTGTGTTCCACCCCATCCTGGCTGGGCTGCCCCAGTCCCACTCCTTTCCTCACTCTGGGGGGCATTAATCTGCCCCCGCACACCCCTTCCCCAACTACCACAACAGACTTATCAGTTGGATGCAGCTCTCCAAGCTGCTGGCCTGTGCTCCTCGCTGCCTAAGTTCTGTGCTGCCACTGCATATGCACAGGCACTTATCATTGAAATTATCAGCCACATGAGCCCAATTTTTGATACAACTAATTTTCTTTATATAGGTGCCAATCTGATATTGGACTGATGTAGCAGTGCACCACTACTGTTTATGTACTTTATATGAAGACTATATAGGGCAATCTGCATGCACTGTCTCTGGAGCAGATTCCAGAATCACCTTCTCATTCACTACCAAGAATTGCCAGAACAAGGGAACTGGGCCACTGCCTAGCTGCTTCAAATGAAAAGGGAAAGGGAGATACCAAGGCCTGAACCACTTCTTCTAGCATCCCCTGCAGCCTTTAGTTTTACACCTCTCCTCCCACTCACTCTTATCCTTACCTGCTTCCAGTGGTCAGAGTCCCCCAATATTTCCACCCTACTTTACAACTCACTTCTATTCATTTCCTTCTACTCCTCACAGCCCCACATCTCTCTCTTCCTCAAACTCTCCCTCCTGTTTTTGCTACGTTTTCCCCCTTTCTGCTTTCTTCCAATCTGTAACCCTCCTGCACCCTACCAATTTTGGCCAACTGTCCTTTCAGTGCACCAGAAAAAATATTTAAAAATTTACATTTTATGATCAGGTCTGCATAGTAGCACAGTACTATGCACAGTAGCAATGAGGTACTGCTCAGTAGCGTTGTGTCACAGTTAGTACCTGCCAATGCTACTAAGCAGTAGCAATGAGCTACTGCACAGCAGCTCATTGCTACTGTTCAGTAGTGTCTCATGTAGGCACAGCCACTGAGTCTGCTTTACCTTATGCAGCACTGACTCCCAGATCATTCGTGGACACATTTCCACATGCAAGCCCTCATGTCCTCATAAATATGGGCATTTGCCCAGGTGCCCCAAACAAACTGTCTGTGGACATTGGCTTCACCCCAGAGTGCTAAGAGTTCAGTGATCTTATTTGCCTCTCAGTTTGGGCTTTGGTCTGCTCTCCTTGGGGTAGCAGACAGTGCCATCACAGGTGCTGGCTCTGGCAGGGACTCTGGGTATCATTGGGTCCTGCCATGTGCCCACAGCAGAGGGACAAGATGCCCAGAGGCCAAATAGCTTCAGGTACAGTCCCTGAGTGTCAGGCTAGGAGCCTGGGGGACTGCTGCAGCTGGCACATGCCTACAGTGCAGGGACATGAGTCACAGGGGCCAGGGAGCAGCCAGCACAGGCCCTGGGGGCAATCTAGGCCTCTGCAGTGCTGATGCAGCTGGTACATGCCCACCACAGAGGCTCACAGTGCCTAGGGCCAGGCAGCAACTAGTATAGGCCCTGGGGGTCAGGCCAGGTGTCTGGATGATAGCCTGAGACTACCATATTGCTGGAGGGACTATTTACAGAGAATAGAAAATGTGCATTAGCCTATTTTACTGTGCTGTAGCTGCTGTGCATAGTTACAAAGTGACACTTTACTGCTCAGTAAGGAGTCTTGTATAAACATACCATTAGAATAAAGCATTTGCTATTTTCTTAGTAAAAAAGTAATGAAGTCATTGTATCTTTAATAGCATTCCCAAATGCATTCTTAATTGGAAGTCTTTGCAAAGGAAATGTTCTTATTTTGGAACTACATGGGGGGGGGGAGAGAATAATAAATATTTCAAATAATATGAACAACTTAACAATACTAGTTATTGGCCTCTAAACATATGGTTACTCCCAGGACACCAAGCAAAATTTATAATGAACACCTTTGACCTGACATGGCATTCAAAGCTCTAAGGAATTCTGTCCAAGAATAAAACATATACAGCCTGCTTCTAATTACACCTGGAACTCTTTGAGTTCAAGATACAGTGAAATTACTTTCACCAGAAATCTATAATATTCCTGGATGTGCATTAAGGTAAATTAAACTTTTTATTTATTTATTGATTGATTTATTTATGTATTTAAAGTTTTAGCATTTAGCATAGGTTCCAAATCCATTCTTTCTTGAAAATTATTTCTGGGTTGTTGTTGTTTTTTTTTTTTTTTGGGGGGGGGGGGGAGGGGAGTTAAGTTTTTTTTACACAAAGATGCAATCTCTTTTTTTTCTCTTAGATTAATTTGAAGTAAACTCCTGAAAAATGTCCTGAATGCTACATGTGGTCATTTGGGAAGACTTGCAGGCTGTGTACTCAGAACTTATGAATTAATACAATTTCATCAAACAGACAAGCTGTGTGTGATTTTATTAGCTGATCCATTTTGCTTTAATTAGCTAGGCTATTATATACACTTTTCTAACAGCAATTATTATTATCACAATCACCACCACTGTGATTTAACATTTTTAAGGAACTGACTTTCCTGTTTTATTTAAGATAAAGGTACATTTATTTGATGACATATGTGACCATTGAAAATATAGTCAAACAGATTTTTGACTAGAGAAATATTCCTGATCCACAGGTCCTGGGGCCAGATCCTGTACCATTGATTAGGAGCATTAAATGGATAGGATATGATTCTATAGCACTTTGCTTGGATCCCTGAAAACTATTGACACATTTTCCTCTTCCTTCTTTTTTTTTTGTTGTGATTTGGTATTAAGGGTTACATGATAATGTGATAGAAAAGCATATGGATCTTCAGGATTTGAATGAGGTAACAAGGAACAATGGCCATAAGTTGACTGAAAGTAGATTTAGGCTAGATATCAGGAGACACTACTTCATAGTCAGGGCGGCTAGGATCTGGAATTAACTTTCAAGGGAAGTGGTGCTCTCCCCTACGCTGAGGGTCTTCAAAAGGAGGCTAGACATCCACCTAGCTGGGGTCATTTGACCCCAACATCCTTTCCTGGACTAGATGATCTGCTTAGGTCCCTTCTGACCCTGCCAACTATGAAACTATGAGGTGAAGTAGAATCACACTTAGGTGTTTAAGTCCACTTAGTAGTCCAATAGGTAAAGTAGAATTTTGCATAAAGACCTCATTTTATCCACAAAACAGGCTGCATAACTGTTTCACCAAGACACCTTTCTTGGTCCTACGGAAGATTTCTCAGGCTCAAGGGTGATTCATACTGGTAACGTGATTCAGCTGAATGTTATTTGTGTGTTTCAGACCCTCCTTATGGCTTGAAGCGGAATAAAAGGCAAATATGAACCCAAGTGACTTCTAAGGAAATACTTTACTGAATATTGTCTCCCCGGTGCTTGTTACTGTCAGGGCATCTCATTGTGTTTCTGTTAGTGGATATCAGGTACATATTCACTTCTTCAAGCCCCTATTTCAGAAGTAGAATGTGAGAAAGAAAAACAAAGCAAAACACCCAATCCCTGCATTTTCTACTTTCTCTGTATACATGAGAGAAGTTTTCAGGGGTATGGGATATATGATGATCAGATATTGCTGTGGGAAGCATGGTGTAAAGAAAGATGCAGGTATCACATTTGAAATGGTCCTCCACAGGATCTAATAACCCAAAAGCTTTGGGGAATCTTGTCCCCATGCTAGCAGATGTTGGAATAAGTGGGATTGTAAGGACAAGCTTTTTGCAAAAAAACTTTAACTGGTTAGAGAGAGGAGCTGCATTTTAACCTGAAGAAGGGCACTTGATGCTGGAAAGTTTGTCTGACAGCTCTCCAAAAAAATATAGTTGGTCCAGTAAAAGATATCACAAAAAAACATGCCTTTCAAACATTTCCTAGAGCATCATGGTTACAGCAACACTCAAACCTGATTAGGGTATTTTCCAAAATCTTTGCTGTATCCCAGTTCCCACTGATTTGTATTCCATTTTTATGACTTTTAAAAGAGCTGGAGATGACATAGGATTTCAACCACCATATACGTGCAGCCTCCCTTTAATTGTTTCTGCTAACTGTTCAAATTTGCTCTGTTCATATCTGCTCTACTTATATAAACTTCCCTTGTACAGATGTTGCCCAGTTAATTTCATTCACATGATTTGTGTTTATTGAATCCAATATGAGACTGTTCAAAGTTTGTGGTGTAAATTGACTTATGCTAAGAAACCCTGGGTCTTTATGGTGTTTTAATTATGGGTTTCAGAAATCCAGAGATTCAGCAAGCTAATGTCCCTTCCTATTAAAAGCGAGGTCACTGTAGTTTTTCTTACAACATAATTCCATAGCAATTAAGTTATATTTGTAGTTGCTAATGTCTTTCAAGTTGGTATTTTTTTAATTGCTGAAGTGCACTTGTTCATGTTGTATTTCTTAGTATTAATCCTTTGCTTTCAATCCCCCTCCCCCACCGAAATAATAGGATTTGCTTGCATGTAGAAACATGTATGGATATGCACATTCCTTCATACACACAAAGTTCTAAATGAAACGCAACCACCATAACGTAATTGGATACACAGGCTTTCTAGAATATTGCAGAATGGTGATATACTCTTTTCATTCTGGTTGCCTCTTCCTCAAGTATTAGTTTTGTTTGGGAGTTTCCTATCTGCCTGTCTCTCTGTCTGTCCATTTATAATTGCTCCTTTTCCCCACCATGTACAGCATATCTAGAAGAAATGGCAAAGGGAAATGTGACTGGAGTGACTGAGTTCATTCTCCTTGGCTTCACAGAAAACCCTCAGCTACAAACCCTCCTCTTTGCAGTCATTTTGGGCATCTATGTGGTAAGCCTGGTGGCAAATGTTGGCATCATCACATTAATCAGCAGTGAGTCCCAGCTTCACATCCCAATGTACTTTTTCCTCTGTAACTTATCTTTTGTGGATATAACCTACTCCTCTGTTATTGCACCCAAGACACTAGTCAATCTCTTAGCAGAGACTAAATCCATCTCATTTTCTGGGTGCGTCACACAATTTTTCTTCCACTCACTTTCAGTAAATGCTGAAGGTTTACTTCTGGCTGTGATGGCATACGATAGGTTCATAGCTATATGCAAGCCACTGTTGTATACACTCATTATGTCCAGGAAAGTCAGGTTTCAGCTGGTGGTTTCATCATATTCCTGTGCCTGTGTCAATGCCATTGTGCACACAACTTCTTTGTTCAGTCTGTCTTTCTGTACTCCCAACATCATCGATCATTTCTTCTGTGACATCCCCCCACTCCAGAAACTCTCTTGCTCTAACACACACGTTGGTGACATGGTGCATTTCATCTTTGCTGCTGTAACTGCATTAAGTACAATTCTGATCATCCTTATTTCCTACACTTATATTCTCTTTGCCATCATTCGGATATGTTCTGCTCAAGGCAGACACAAAGCTTTTTCTACATGTGCCTCCCACCTGACAGCTGTTGCTATATTTTATGGGACTCTGATCTTTATGTATTTACGACCCACTTCTGGCAATTCAGCAGATCAAGATAAAGTGGTGGCTGTATTCTATACCCTTGTGGTTCCCATGCTGAACCCCTTGATCTATAGCCTGAGGAACAAGGAGGTGAAGGAGGCCCTGAGGAGGACAATAAACCAAAAGAGGATATGCCAGTGACCTGAACTTGGTGATTTCATAAGAAATAGAGATAAGCAGACCTGGATGGGAAACTGAAAATCCATCACACAGAAATACACAAGATTTGGTAAAAGGAAGTCATTCAGATTTGTGATTAAACATCTCCCCCCACCAAAAAATCCCCCCAAAACCTTAATATTTTCCATGAATCGTAAATGTCCAGGATTTTTCTGTTTGCAGAAGGCCTGCCTAGAAGGTAAGTATGTGAACATGAAATGGATATTTGGGCTCTCAGGATGGTGTTCCAAAACTTTCTTTCTTCCCAGTTTGCAGTCTTCCAACCTCCTCACATAAGCCTGATGGGAAGGACAGCTGAATTGTAGGGAACTAAAGAGCCTGGGCACTCTGCTTTTCCTCAGCTACCTGGATGTGAAAATGTAAATCCTGGAATAGTCTTCCAGGGGAGCACATCAATCAGTTGATCTGTTTAGCTCAAAAATTGAATTTCTTGGTAAAATCAAATATTAAGCATGGAATCTCCATTTTTTAAGTGCAGGGGTGTAGGTTGTAGCCGTGTTGGTCTAAGAACATATACAGACAAGGTTCCTTGGGTGAATAGGATATCTTTTATTAGACCAACCCAAATAGTTGGAGAATAGTTATTAAGCAATCAACCCTTCATCAGGCTAAGGAAGTTTCAGCAGTTGGTGTGTGCTCTTCCTGGATGGAATGAAAAGTAAAGAAGCCAGAGGCTGGGCTGGGGAGTCAGTTCTCAGGCAGATGTGTCAAAAATCCAAATGTCTATACTTAGTCCATGATTTTTAGTATCCAGCAGGTTGATGAAATGGAGTTCATAGGCTCGTCTCTGGGAAGTGTTGTGTAAGCTTCCTCTGAGGATCAAGACTGAGAGATTGGAGAGAGAGTGGCCCTCCTGTGAGAAGTGTGCCCCCACAGGTAATTGGGTATTTCTGTCTTTGATAGATTTCCAGTGTGCATTCATTCTGGTGCGCAGTTGTTGTTTGGTCTCTCCTACATATTTTCCATCAGGGCATTTGGTGCATTGGATCATCCCCAGCCCAGTCTGGCTTCTTTACTTGTAATTCCATCCAGGAAGAGCACACACTAACTGCTGAAACTTCCTTAGCTTGACGAAGGGTTTTTGAACCCAAAAGCTTGCTTAATAACTATTCTCCAACTATTTGGGTTGGTCTAATAAAAGATATCAGATTCACCCAAGGAACCTTGTCTGCCATTTTTTAAGTGGGCATTTTTGTCAGAAAATTGTTCTAACAGCATTTTCAGAGGGTTTAAAGATGAGGCAGAAATGAAATCTTACAGTCATTATGGCTGTTGACAGACATGGGAAAAAACCAAACAGCTCTTTACCAGAAGAGGAAGCACGTCAGTTTGATGCCGCTTCCTAGCATCTATATAGATTCTGAACTTCAGTGGGGCATTTGGGCACTTTTATCTCATCGCTGATTGAATCAGCGGTGAGATAAAGTGCCAAAACACCCCACTGAAGTGCACAATCTATACAGTTGTTGAGCAAGCTGGGTCAAATTGATGTGATGCCTCTTCCGGGCATGTGCCACACTTGAAGTAGGGGTGTGCCAAGCTGAAAGTAAAGCTCTGGGTTTTCCCCGCCCCATCTCTAAGCATCCTATATGTACCAGCTTCTAAACCTTCTAATGTAACAAACTAAATACAGTTTGGGACATTTAATATAATCAATGATAGTGAATATGGACTTAAAAAACTATGAGTTTACTGGGAACTTTGCCACTGAGTTAAATAAGTGAAGGATTACCAAAGCTGTACTGATTTTTTTCACTGATTGTTTTGTGATCCTCAGTGCCACTTCAAATGGTACAGAGCTGACATACTGGTCCAGCTAATGGTGCCCTTCCTTACTTATCTGGCATAGTCTTTTCTGCCATGAATATTCATAATGAAGTCAAAATAGCATGACTTTCATTGAGCTCCAAGCTAACTCACATATTCTAAGAAGCAAAATAACATTTATTTCCTAGATGTGAGCATCCATTTCTGCAGTTTTCAATCATGCAACTGTTCCTTATGTCCACCCATGGTCAAGAAACAGAAGGAAAATATGTGAAATTTCTTTTTTACTTGTCTCCAACAATTTAAAACATTGAATATTAATTTTCACTAAAATTTTGAATGTAATAAAATGCTAACCACTTCTATAACTGAACCAAGAATGTCATAAAAATAGCAAGTATCTTATTTTTTTTTTTATCACTCCTAATGGATGTGGCAGCAATGCCCCGTCAGTGCCCCTCTCCAGAGATCTGTCTCAGCCAGCCTGAGAGGCTGCTGTTGAATCCCTCACAGCGGGGATCTCCCACCTTGTCTGCAGACAAAAGCCTGGCGCCTGGGAGGCGATGCTCTGGTCACCTGGGCAGGGGGGGGAAAGACCCGGCCCTG